TGAGCGCTACCACTGCCTAACATCTATGTTTAATTTAGTGGCTGGCTTTGTCCTCTGATCCCCAGGCAAGCTTTATTGGAGTACACAATATATTACCATACCTGGTCTCCAGGCTATTTATGAAGACTGAAAAAAAACCCTCAGCAACAAAAAAGAAAGACATGCCCTTGCTATGTAGCTTAGGTCCGGCCTAGTATGGAATCAAAATGCTCTCCTGTTTCAGCTTAAATAACAGAAATGTAACACATTTCTGGAAGCTGGATGTCCGTGATCAAGGCTCCTTGTAACTTCTTTCTTGTTGGCTCTATAGATAACCTTCTCCTCTGTGTTTTCACTTATTTGTCTTATGTGTGTGTGTGTGTGTGTGTGTGTGTGTGTGTGTGTGTGTGTGTGTGTGTGTGGTCACTGTTATACGGAATCCAATTCACATTGGATTAGGGCTCATACTATGACTTTATTTTATATTAGCTTCCCCAGTACTCATATATAGTCACAGTCTTAAGTAATGTAGGTGCAGAATTTTATAGAAATTTTATAATTGGTACAATTCTACTTATCACAACAGCCATCTCATTCCAATCCTAACACTTATGAGCCAATACAGTTGTGGGAAAATTACTAAGCCTTGTGAACTTCAGGTTATTCAACTGTGAAGTAGATTTATTGGGATGTTTGTGGTGCATGTAAAGTGCATCCAAAGCATGATACATATTAGAATAGTAATATCTAGCAGAGATTTCTATTGTAGGGTCTAAAAATGTGCTGAAGGAAGACCCCAGACTCAAATAGTATGTAAAAACAAAGAGCATTTATTATACCAACATGTATATGGGGTGTTCACCTGTACAAAATGGTGACAACCCTGAGATGAGCACCGAGGCTCCTTTTAATGACAGCTAAGGGGAGTTTCAGGGACAGTTATGTCATCTTAAATGTGATTGGTTAAACAAGCAGCGGTTATATTAGTATACTTTTTAATTGTCTGAGGTTTAATCTTATCATTTTTGAACATATCTGTACAAACTTGGATGTGACTCAGAAGGGGGCTGTAGCAGGAATCTTAAAAGTTCTTATTAATAAAATCAAACCTGAGCCAGGTATTGGGGTGAACACTGGAAGATCAGAGAAGCAGAACAAGCCACAGCTACCTCACCTCACCAGATCCTCAGCTGGTCTTGTTTCCTCAGACTGGAGGCCTCTGAGTCCTCGTCCAGAATAGGTCTCAGCTGAACTGTGCTGCTCCAAAGCCTGAATGCTTAACTGGTCAAATGCTTCTAGTTTCTGGTCCTCACGCCTTATATACCTTTCTGCTTTCTGCCATCACTTCCTGGGATTAAAGGCTCACTTTCTGGGATTAAAGGCGTGAGTCACCATGCCTGGCTGTTTCCATTGTGGCCTTGAACTCACAGAGATCCAGAGGGATTTCTGCCTCTGGAATGCTAGGATTAAAGGTGTGAGTGCCACCATTTTCTAGCTTTTGTATCTAGTGGCTGTTCTGTTCTCTGACCCCAGATAAGTTTATTAGGGTACACAATATTTTGGGGAACACAATACCACCACAGGGGGCTGCTGGGTTTATCCTTGAGACACTGTAAGGCTGACTTAGGACTTGAGTGTACTCTCTTCCTTGTGCCTGAATGTAAGGGTATTGTGGATAAATGGCCCTTTGCTGGGAGAGACACCTATTTTGCCCTTCTCAGAGAACTGAAACCTAAATTCAGTTTTGATGGTGGGAGAGTTTAACCCCCTTCACTATGCAACCACCATTTCTCCCTGGGTTATTTATTATTTAATTTGTCTAGACCCTTCCCTAACTGGATGCAAATGAAACTTCTAGAATTTATGTACTATGCCCTAGTTAGGATTTTATTCCTACAATGAAATACCATGGCCAAAAGCAAGTTGGGGAGGAAAGGATTTTATTGGCTTACACTTCCATATCACTGTTCAACATTGAAGGAAGTCAGGACAGGAACTCAAACAGGGCAGGAACCTGGAGGCAGGAGCTGAAGCAGAGGACATGGAGGGGTGCTGCTTACTGGTTTGCTCCTCCTGGCTTGCTCAGTCTGCTTTCTTATGGAATCCAGGCCCACCAGCCCAGGAAGGGCACCACCCACAATGGGCTGGGCCTCCCCCATTAATCACTGATTAAGAAAATGTCTTAAAGGCTTGCCTACAACCCGATCTTATGGAGGAATTTTCTTGAGATTCCCTCCTCTCAGATGACTTTAGCATGTATCAAGTTGACATAAACTATCAGTACATACTCTGATGTTAATATATATTTTTATTTACTATTCTTATTTTAACTAAAAATTCTCATACAATATATTATGGTCATGTTCCATCTCTTGCTCCAACTTCTCCCAGATCCCCCCTCCCTACTTACCCAACTTTGTTTATTTCTGTCTCAAAAACCCACCAAACACAAAAACAAAAATCAAAGCAGACAAGCAAAAGACCAATAAGACAAAACAGCAACAACAACCCCTAGCATTTGTTTTGTGTTGGCCAGCTATTCCTGAACATGGGGCTTGCATTGGACTGTGGTTGATATGCACTGACACTGCACTGGAGAAAACAGATTTTCCCGTTGCCAGTGAGTATCAATTGCAAATAGCTTCTCCTTTAGGGGTGGGACTCTGTATCCACTTCCCCCTCACAGTGCTGGGACCCCATCTGGCTCTTTGATGTTAATATTGATTTTCAGCATGCCAGCATTACCTAGGAACAAGCTTGTGGGCATACCTGTAGAGGTTTATCTAGATTAGGTTAGTCTCCGGCCATGCCTGTGACTGATTGTCTTGATTAATTGATGTGAGAAGACAAAACCTAAATGTGGGAAGCACCATTTGCTGGCCTGGGCTGAGGTTCTGACTGAAAGGTTGTTGAACACAGGCATTCTCATTCTTTTCTTTGTGGCTGCAGATGCAACTTGAACAGCTGCTGCAAGCTCCTGCTTCCAGGATTTCCCCACAATGATGAGCTTTATCCAAAAATGGTGAGCCAAAATATTTCCTTTCTCCAGTTACTTTTGTCAGTTCCTGAATGCTCTTCCATTTAGATCACTGGGTAATTTATAAAAAGGACTTTAGTTAGCTCATAGTTTTAGAGGCTAAAAGTCCAAGAACACAAACTCAGCTCTGATAAAGGCCTCATGGCAGCCAACACTATAGTGGGAGTGTGTGCAAGAGGGACAGATCAGGAATCCAGAGAGCAATTCAGTGGTCAGGCTCTTTAAAGTTTTATTTTTGTTTTAAAAATTATTATTTTTATTTTATGAGTGGATTGCCTGCATGTATATCTGTGTACCACATTCATGCCAGGTACCTGTCGGGGCCAGAGGAGGGCATCCCTGGAACTGGAGTTACAGACAATTGTGTGAGTTACAGGCAGCTGCTATGTGGGTGCTGGGAAACAAATCTGGGTCTTCTGTAAGAGCAACTGAACCATGTCTCCAGCCCAAAGGCTGACTCTTTTTAATAACAACTTCTTGCAAAAATACCCAGGATCCTATGGGAATCATATCAATTATTTCGAAGAGGTTAATGATCTCAAAGAATTCCCATTTGACTCAACCTCTTGAAAGTCCTCTCTGCATCACACTGAGGACCAAATTTCCTGCACACAATGTAGATGTTGATTCCTGTCTGCCATATCCATCTGCTATCCAAAAGGAACTGTTTATGGGACCAGAGGGGTAGCTCAATGGTTAAAAGAGCATACTTTAATTTCAGAGGAGTCAGATTCAATTCCTAGCACCCACAGCAGGTGGATTATAACTGCTTGTAACTTGAGCTTCAGGAGCATCTGACACCTTGAGCCTCCTAGTGCATTGGCACTGACACGCACAGATCCCTACATGTACACATAATTACTCAGAATAAAATAAAAACTAAAAACCCAACAAACCCCAAAAGAACTGTTCTGAAAATGGAAAAGGAACTGCTCAGAATGGAAACATTCACTTCTCAGGCCTAAATCACAGCATGAAATGATTCGTTTGGTCTAAGAGGACACCTCATTTCTTCTTGCTATGGCTACTGCTAATGTACTTGACCATTTATGGCAAGCAGATCCAGCTTTTCCTAGTATTACCCCATGAATACAGGACCTTGCAAACAATAGGTCTTCAATAAATCAGCCAGTAAGCAGGGTGGCTTATTTATTTGTATTGTAATTTTATTAAAAAGAACTTGCAAATCAAAAACATCACATACTGAAATAACCAGATCCAAAGTCAATACATCATAGTGAGCTTCTCTATAATTCTGAAGCTGTGGAACATCACACTGGGTAACTTATTAGGATATAATTCCTCATACAATTTCAAAAATCCATGCACATTTAGATCTACACATGTAACTTAATTTTACAGAGGAACAGGTTTTGTTGAAGGGGAAAATAAGAATTAACCATTTGTTTCATTTTTCTCTATTTTTTGACATTGGATATATTACTAAATTCTTTCACAATTCAAATTAAATTCCTATTTCAATGTTATTACAGACCACAAAATAAGATGGAATGCTTTGTATAAAATAGCAAAAGATGGGTAGGTGTGGTGGCACAGGTCTTTAATCCTGGCACTCAGGAGGAAGAGGCAGGTGGATATCTGTTGAATTCAAGGCCAGCTTGGCCTACATGGAGAATTCCAGACCAGCTAGGGCTACACAGTGTAACCCTACTGCAGAAAGCAGTACTTAGATTCTGAAGCACACTAAATACTTCAATTAAGAGAAACAAGATTTGAAAAATACCAAAAAATAAAAGTTCCAAGTTACCCTTATAAAACAGGGAGGAAAAAAAAAAGACGGCATTCATTTACTTTCACTAGCTGTCTTTACTACTTAAAACAGTGACTGCCACCTTCAAACACAGTGAAGACTCATCTGAGACTTCATTCAGAAAGCTTCCAAATGTGGCACTAGAACTTGTATTGGCTGTGAAGTATGCCATTTGTGGTGGCAATTCTAAACAAAATTCCCTGTTCTCTCAAAGCCACTAAATGCAGTCATTGGAAGGATCTGGAATCACTTAGTTCATCCTGCTGATCTGAGCCAAAAATTCTAAGACATCCACACTTGTGGTTTCAGCATGGGCCCTTGGACCCCATAGGAATTCATAGTGAGGGGGATCACTGTCAGGCACTGGATTGTATTCCAGATACCCTTCCTGTACAAAAGTTTCAATGAAAAGCTTCTTGACATTCCCAGCTACATAGTGATTTTCCATGGGACTTAGTCCCATCATATTTAGTGCTTGCCAGATCACATTCTCACTGATGCGGTTGCCATGCATGCAGATGACGCCTAGGGCAATTATTAGAAGGCCTGTTTTGGTCATGCCTTGGCCATTAGTAAGCATCCCATCATAAGTGATTCCCAGGGCAATGACAAGGGCATAGGTGTGGACCACAGGGTCCACCTCTATCACGTCAATGCCAAAGACCAGCTTCAAGCCCTCAGAGGCCTCATTAAAGATCCTATTGTAGTGCTGCTCATCATCTTCTACAATCTTTTCTATAATTTCTGCCTTGTTGGTCAGCTCCTTCAATCTATACTTGAGGAGCAGGAACTGAACCAAATCAGCCACCTTTGCACTTAGTGCATGGTGCAATACTATGGGGCCTTCCAGCTCCCCTATTTGGTTGCCAGAGGCTTCATCAGATAGGGATATTGGAATGGAGGCCATGACAGTGGGAGGAGATATGGCTCGTTGAGGACTCTGATGAAATTTTGGTATCCCATCAGCAGGTGTCTTCCTGGGGATGGTTGGGCTAGTGGAAGAGGAGGACTTCTTGTCATTGGACTCTTTTCCCTCAGCCACAGAGAGATCATAACTCATACAGCCATGTTCTTCTCTTGGGGCCTGAGATTCTCCCTTAAAGTTGCAATACCACCTCTTCTGACCATGAGACATAATGTTCTTGAAGCTAGCAGGTAGGAGGATGGGCAGGAACACAGTGATACAGACTCAGACCTGGGGCAAGAAGAGAGCAGTGCAAGAATACTTTGCTGACAGTTTCACCTCTGAAACCTCTCAAAATGGCCTGCTGCAGTCTTTCTCTTAGGTGGTACTGTATGGCCACAGGGGAACCTGTAGCATGAATCTTAAAGGTACTTATTAATAAAATCAAACCTGAGGCCAGTTATTGGGGTGACTGCTGGAAGATCAGAGAAGCAGAACAAGCCACAGCTACCTCACCTCGCCAGCTCCTCGGCTGATCCTGTTTCCTCAGACTGGAAGCCTCTGAGTCCTCATCCCAATGGCTCTCAGCTAAACTGCCACTTGAAAGCCGGAATGCTTAACCAGCTAAAAGCTGCTAGTTCCTGGTCCTCATGCCTTATATATCTTTCTGCTTTCTGCCACCACTCCCTGGGATTAAAGGCTCACTTTCTGGGATTAAAGGCATGAGTCACCATGCTTGGCTGTATCCTTGAACACACAGATATCCAGATGGATTTCTGCCTCTGGAATGCTAGGATTAAAGGCGTGTGCTACCACTGCCTATCCTCTATGTTTAATATTGTGGCTGTTCTGTTCTCTGGCCCCAGATAAGTTTATTAGCGTGCACAATATTACTCCTGTAAGAGATATAGAGGCATCCCAGAGCTGCACAGTGTGAAAATACTAGGTGCCTGGCCCTGATAGAAGAGGAGAACTGGACTCTGGGTAGTTCCTCTGCTGTCTCATATGGTACATTCTTCAGTCACTCTTTGCACTGTCAGGGTCTGGACCCCACCTCTATTCTGGCCTGAGGCCAACTTCTTGCAATGAAATTCCACAGCTTTGAGATGGGACAAGGCAGCGAGGGAGCCTTGTATCCAGCTACCCTTTCCCAGGGTGACAGGAAGAGGTAACACACTTCACTAGGGTCTATGTGTATCAGGAAGTAGAGCCTGTTTCATACATACCTTGATAAATTGCAAGGACTGAACTGCTTCCCCTAATGAGCTGAACCCATCTTCTTTAACGTGAAGATGTATTTCTGTGAGAAAGAAGAAAAAGGATGTGAGGGCAGGTAATCCACCTACAGTCCCCAGGTTTTCCCACAGCCAACAGAAACACTAGGCCCCATTTGTTTGGGTGATGGGACTCTCTCAGTCCTCACCTTGAGTTCTGACACAACTGGAATCTTTTCTCTGATGACCTGAGTCAAGATCGTCTTGATAAGGCCTTCAGTTCTCTGAGACCAATGACATAGAAACAGACAGAGGGCTAGTGACGCTGCCCAGGACTGTGGGGATGATGGTGACAAGGGTTTCAGTGCAGACTTCTGTGGGGACCCTGTCTGTGCCATAGACTGGAGTTACCTCAATCAGCCCTTGGTGTCTTTGACTCTTGCCAGATCCTTTAATACCTGTGCCTAGCTGAGATCACTCACTGAATTTAAATTCCTTATTTTCCCCTCAAATCCTGACAACTCTCTGGAGAAGCAAACAGATAGACATATCTCTTCAGCCCTGCATGGGATCTTCAGGGTTGCCTACCTGATCTGGACTCATCTCTGCTCATATAGGGTTCCCTAAATCCACCAGAAGTTTATTTATCTGATGTGTCTTTTCTGACATCTCCCCTTTATAGCAGACCTTATCTCCCCAGAGATTCTGCACAACCCTCATTTTTCCCTGACACCCCATAGGCTAAAGTGAAGGTGCACTGCATCTGGTTACTCTTCCCAGAGACTACCAAGGCTGACAAGAGGGTGGAGGTAACCATGTCCTCTCAAGTGTGAGCTCCCCACTGTTGTCCTCCATTTCCTACCTTTAGTCTTCTTAAGATCTGGACCCTTCCCTCTGCTTAGGTAGTATTCTTTGTAGTAAAATCTCCAAATTCTCTCAGACCTGGATACAGAAGTCAGAAATCACTTGCTTATTAGTGTCTATCTGGGCTCAGGGCAAGGGTATAGTTGGTCTCCATCCACGGTACTCTCAGTCCTTCCTAAATATTCATGTTGACTTCCATCAGTGTCTGGGACCCTTACTCTGCTGACCCGAAGCCCTACTTCTACCTACAAAGCCTCTCCCCTTTCAGACCAAGATGTGGAAAACAGGCATTACTTTATTGGTCACCTCACTCCCTGGGCTGACCATATGACCAGGCTTCTGTGGGAGCCTTCTTGTATTAGAATTCTCCCCCTCATAATCTAGACCTTTTCCCCTCTGACCATGACAATTCCTTCATTTCTGATACCCAATAAAAAATCTTGGGAATTCCACATCTGGCCATAGATCCTGAGCCTCCCAGAGTTAACAGCGAGGGCATAATGGGATACTTTGGTGGCACTTTATCATCCCTTGCAGTCTTCCCTATGACTCCTAGATTATTCTGGACACCAACATCTGGTGATCTCAGTCTGCTGCCCCCAGACCATGGCTCTGACTCCAGTGGACTCCTGAGACAGAAGGAAGGGTGGGGGAAGGGAGCTGGGGGTCCAAGTATCTCCCCTGAAAAGCCTATTTCCCTATGGTTCAGGGCTGGCAACAGGGTCAAGGATGAAACCATCCTTGAAGATTACTTGGAGTTTCCCTGTATTTGGCCTAGAGCTTCCCAAGTCTGTCCTTGGGATCTTCCTGTGACCTCTCACAGAGCTATACCCACCTCAGAACAGGACTGTGAGTGCCAAAATCTACTGAAGTGGAGGATTAACAAGACAGCCCCTGTATGGTGCAGCGCTGAAAACAGAAGCAGAGTCAGATCATTCTTGTGGGGAGTATCTCCATCAGGGGGAAACTTCTAAATGTATTTCCAAGGTCTCACCAAGTTCCCTAACAGTTCTCTCAGAACACAGTTCCAAATTCCAGAGTTCATTGTGGCAAAATGAAGAAGTGGAAGAGGTCATTCCAACAAGGTGTCACCATTTGGTGTAGGGTGAACAAAAGTGGTACAAATGGATTGTTTGAGGTTTGGCTATCAGGACTGGGGCATCTCCATTCTACCTTCAGAGCTTCTCAGAATCCTGCTGTAAACCCCTGGGTCCTCTTTGCTGTATGAACCTTAGAACATGGCTCTGAATTCCAAAGTCTGCTAAAGCAGGTAGAGGGTATTAATTCTCATTTGAACAAAGTGAGGTTTGTTATGGTGCAGGACAGATAAGAGCTGGGGTTAGACTTTTTGGAGATACTATAGGACTGGGGCATCCTCAATCTATCCTCAAGGTCTTACCATACTTCACAAAGCCAGGCTCTCAAAAGAAAATGTTTCCTAAACTAAGTGTAATCTCAGTACTCAAGAGGCCAACCTGATCTATACAGAATTTCAGGATAGCTTTGGCTACATAGTGGGGACCATCTCAGAACAAAAGGAAATAAACCAACCAAAAAAAAAGACCCTGTCTCAGCTAGGCAGTGGTGGCACATGCCTTTAATCCTAGCACTTGGGAGGCAGAGACAGGTGGATCTCTGAGTTCGAGGCCAGCCTGGTCTACAAAGTGAGTTCCAGGAGAGCCAAGACCACACAGAGAAACCCTGTCTCAAAAAACAAAAACAAAAAAAGACCCTGACTGAAAAACTCAAAACAATAAAGAAGATAAAGTCTCTGATTATATTGGCATATATACACATACCCATAAACAAAAACAAATCTAACAACAAAAAAGACAAAATATAACTACTCTAGATTCTGATGAGAGACTAGAGTGGTGAGGTAGAGGTTACCACTGGATTATATGGGGTGGGGTGTATCCCTCTGTCAGGTCGGGGGTCTTAATGTGTCTCCTCACATATCCTGGCCCGCAGAAAATGTTTTTTCTTGTTCTTTTCTTTTTTTTTGAGACAGGGTTTCTCCATGTAGCCCTGACTGTCCTGGAACTTGCTCTGTAGACCAGGTTTCTTAAGCTGGGCATGATGGCACACACCTTTAGTCCCAGCACTCAGGAGGCAGGGACAGATGAATCTCTATGAATCTGAGGCCAGTCTGGTTTACACAGTGAGTTCTAGGACAGCCAGGGCTGTTACACAGCCAAACTCTGTCTTGAAAAACAAAACAAAACAAACAAACAAAAAAAAGCAGGGTGGTGGGGTGGTGGTAGTGGTGGCACATGCCTGTAATCTCAATATTAAGGAGGCTGGAGCAAATGGCACTTCAAAGCTGATTTGGTCTACACAGTAAGTTTTGGGGCAGTCTGGGTTATGTAGAGAGTATCCTGTCCTAAAAACTAATCAAACCAAACCAAACCAAACAAGGCACTGAAGAGATGGATCACCGGAGCACTTGCTGTTCTTGCAGAGTACTAGAGTTTGGTTCTCAGCTCTTGCCTGGAATGCTGATAATATGTTATATAAACTGGACATGCAGGACCCATAGGAAGGTGACCACTGAACGATGCAAAGTGAGATGGTTCTTCAGGTTCCTCGTTTACAGAGAAGACCACCAGATATTCTATAGGACACAGGGAGAAGTGAGTGAGAGACTCCAGACCTATTGGCTGAAGATAGATGCCCCAAAATTACAGAGAAATTTTGGATGACTATCCAGGCAAGCAGCTGTCTCTTTCATTTCCAGAATTTTCTAAGTTGCTTACAGTACACTTCCTGTTTACTTAGGGAATATTACATCCTTCTGAGGTCTTTGATGTAGTTGAAGACTAAATAGTTATAATCAAAATTTTCCTTGGCTATGATAAGAGATATATTACATATGAAACTTTAGACTCACAAATATAGGGTAGATGATAGGATATTTTCTCTGAATTTGTCACATGTAAATGGACTAGACATTGTTGATGTATTATTGCTTATATATATTGTATATAGCTATTGTACTTATTGTATATTTTTTCTTATAATAGTTATAACTTTCTTATTTTTAATTGAACTGGGATTATTAGAAGACCAATAGTGTTAAATATTTAGAGAAAAGCAGAAACAAACATTTAGGAAGACATAAAATTTTTTAGATAATATATACCCATACGCTGT